TACAACGCGCAGACTATTACTACTCAACACTGAAAATTGGCTAAAAATATTGTCTATGTGTTTATTAATTTTGTCTTGTGTGGTTAAAACAATGTCTATGTTTATTTATTTTGTATATTCATAGACATTTACTGTCTGTGTGGCAAAATTGTCTATATTTTCATGATGTTGAAAATGAAAGCAAACATGAGAAATCATAATACAACATTTTCATTGTCTGTGTGGCAAAATTGTCGATATTTTCATGATGTTGAAAATGAAAGCAAACATGAGAAATCTTAATACAACATTTTCAACCAAAATGTATAAGATTATCATTTAATTTTCAACAAAAATGCATTAAAGAGATCATAATGAGTATAAGATTAACAATTTAATTTTTCAATCACCATGTATTAATAGCACATGTATTAAAATCTATGACAACTAATTTTTTTGTTTTATTTCTTGGAGCTCCAACCATCTCAAAGAGGTCCAAACACATCAAATTGGACTAAATATATCAATTTTTCTGCACGTCTCATTAAATAAAAACGCCCTTGAAGGGTTGCACATACAGTATGTAACAATGATACTATACTCCGTATGTATAATTAAGGAAAGAACACACACACACATACTAGTATTATTAACGACTCACGCGCGCATCGACTGGGACGCGCCGCCATCATGCAAAGCTGGAGGCGGCGCGCGGTGGGTAACGATAGCATTAAGTTTGTAAGCCTAGTGTCTGCACTACCGCGGTTGAATCTCTTTTAAGTTTGCCCACCGCTACCCATTTCTGACATAGGCAGATCGCCAAAATACACAAAAGACATGAGACGACGATGATAACAAGAAGAATGAGAGGACTTCGTGAGGTTGAGTCATCTTCGTTGGAACCGCTACCACGAGCATAGCAGGATGAAATGTGGAGAAGAAGAAGAAAGAAAAGGCAAAGTTTTTGGATTTGCTCACTTTCATCGTTGTATCTGATCTGATCTTGAGCAAGCAAGCTAATTCAATTAATTTAAACTGGGTATGATAGTTAATTAAGATTTACTCATCACCGCATATAAATAGATCGATCATCAGACGGCCAGGCGCCGTCTATTTCCCTTCGTCTGAACAAGTTTCAATTCATGATGGAATTCAAAGAAAAAGCGCCAGAAATACGTATGCAGTTACATTTAATATGGTATTAGTAAACAATTCCAAAATGGCAAATTTAAAATTTCAACGGTTTAACAATATTTTTCAAACAATAATATAAGTATTGCAATTTAAGTAAAGCATGCCAACAGTGTAAAATTCAACTACGTTACATGTGTTGGAAAATGTGTTAATAAATTGCATTAAATAGTCATTTTTGGGAAATTTCTTGAGTGGGGTTCACTTCCGATTTGGATCGGGTCAAAGTGGTTTCGGATTGTCCCTTAAGGGCTACAATTCGATATGTGGTACACTCAAAACGGATAACGGATTAATGAGAAATTGATTCTCAAATTTCACTCGTTGAAATGGAGAAAACTTAGAAAAAAATGGGCTTCTAGCGTGTTCCCACACCGGAAAACTAAAGGGACTTTAACCCCCTTATAAAGGGAACCTCATTTGAATGATTTAAGATTCTTAGGTGGAAAGACTCTCTTAGTGCGCGGAGGGTGTCGATCAAATCCCAAAAATGTAGAAGAAAAATCGCGACTCCAATAGAGGACATTTTAGGAGTGCTGATAAAAACCGTTACAACAATTAAATGTCCAACGTTTTTTTGCAATTGAATGGACAATTTTCTGGACAAATCAATGTCAATGTGCGGGACATTGATTAAAACTGTTCATGTCCATTAAACAGTCATTAACACACAACAAATCTTTCCTATAAAAGGCTAGTAGGTGGTTTGCAACAAGCACAACGCACAATACATTCTACACATATTTCTTTAGCTAAAAACACCTCCAGCTCTCTCTGAAAAATTCCTTCGTGTTCATACTTGTTCTTGTTTGTCGGAACAATTCTTGGGAAATGATCGTTGCAACGCTCCTAGCACCTCGGGAGGCAACAAATATGTTTTAAAGACATCGTGCGTTGCACGAGTTTTGGCTAATTCTGCTTCATCCATTTTCTGTTTTTCTTTAGTCATTTTAATTAATTTATTTTTATTAATTATTTTTCTTTGTTTTGCGAAACACACCAAACAACATGTACTTCCATATACATGTACTTATTAAGGTAGATTAATGATGCACACAAAGAGCTCGTTTAGTAACCCTGTTTTTCGGCTTATCAGGCTTATCATCCAACTTTTTCACAAAACAGTTAACTTTTGATTGTACGCGCTGAATTGTGTAATAATAAGAAAAAGAAAGGTTGGAGTTACTTTTCTGGCTATATTGGCTGAAGTTACTGTAGAAGACCATTTTAGCTATTTTTTCATATAATTTTTTCTTTATTTTATTAAAAAAATATTTTAAATATAATTTTTTCATAAATTAGTACAATCAGCCAATCCAACCACTTCAGCCAAAACTTCATAAATTTCAGCAGAATCAACCAATACAGTTGATTTTGGTACTACTAAACGTGCTCAAAATACGATTGTCAATATTTTGGTGGAACTATCCATTTTAGCCACTATTGTCCATGATATTTCTTTTATAACACACGACAAAGTTTTTTTCATATATAGACTTTTAACTTTTCAAAAAAATTTATTTATTGGCTTGATTAACAATAAGAAAAAAAGTTCCGCCGCGCACATCATCGGAGGTTGCACGCCCTGACGCCCCCTTTCTGGAACTGTGCCGCTCGATCACTCCTGCTCGTTTTTTCTCTGGATTCAGCCGCAACTAGGGTTTTGACCCTCATCTGCGTAGTTTCTGCGACAGCTAGGGTTGTGACCCTCGTCTACGTAAGTGGGGGTAAGTGAATCTCTTCGCTCGACGTTGGACGATACAGGGATGGATTTCGCAATTGAGGATTGGAGCAGCGAAGACCAATTCCAAATTCGATTGGGTTCATGCGACTAATCCGAATTGGGATGTGGAGACTACTTGTTTTCGGATCGGTTTTGTTCGTGCAGTACCTTGGTCAAGAGAAGGAGGCGATGAAGGAATAAGCTAAATGGATGAAAATCCCTCCTCCTCCCGAACCACCACCATGGATGAACTATGTGACTAGGGTTTGGAAGGTTGCTTTACTATTCCTAGTTTTTTATTTTTAGTCCAGACTATTTTATTATTTCTATTTTGCTCTTTTTAGGATAAACAATAAGGGGGGTAAAATAACGCTTTGTTTTGCTTTAGATGATAGATTACTTATTGGAGGCAATCAGACTGGTTAAGCCGCTGATAGCCTCGAAGCTCTCTCATTTTCAGCGATTAGTCTCGCTGTTTTTGGTGTGGACTATTCTATGTCTGATCTAGGAGTGAGAGGACCGCTGGGCTCTTGGTCATTTTGGATAGAGAGAGTTACTTTATTGTTTGCATGTTACCTTATTATACTGTAAGCATGATTTTAATATAATATGTTAGTTTCCTTGTCAAAAAAATTATTTATTTCAAAGGGAAAATTGCAGTTTTGGTCCCCCAAATAGCCACCATATTGAAATTCCAGACTCGTGTTTTTTCTTTTTTAAATCTCACCCCAGATTTGTCAGAATTGTTTTAAATGTCACCCATGCCATTAATAATCTTACAAATTCCGTGTGGTTTTTCATTTTTTCAAGGGTAAACATGTAACTTCGCATCCTCATACGTTTAAATCCCTAAATCGAGTTATCATCAACCCTTTATCACGATTATCAGACCAAATTGAAATGTTTTACTTAATCCATTGCTCTGAACTCTTTTTCGCCAACTTTCCGTTGGACACGACGTTCGAATATTGAAGCTGTATTGAAGCCAAGATTTCCATTTGAAGGTCGAAGATGATGACGAAGAACCCTAAATCATATGACAATGGTGGCACCTCTTTGAAATTCCAAACGGCTGAAGAACGAATGAAGGGAAGAGAGCTTCCCAAGCAAATGGTGTGTACCTCACTTGAATTATACAAAGAAAGTTTGGTTTATACTCGATTTAGGGATTTAAACGTATAAGGATGTGAAGTTACATGTTTACCCCTGAAAAAATGGAAAGCCAGACGGAGTTTTGTAAGATTTTTAACGGCAGGGGTGACATTTGAAACAATTCTGACTAATCGGGGGTGACATTTAACAAAGCAGAAACACGGGTCTAGGATTTGAATATGGTGGTTAATTGGGGGACCAAAACTGTGATTTTCCCTATTTCAAAAATAACTTACTCTCTCCATCCCTTAAAAGTTTGCCAACTTTCCTTTTTTGGATGTCCCACTAACTTTACCACTTTCCCTTTTAAGTAAAAAATTTGTGATTCCAATTAATTCTCTCTCCTCTGCACAAACATCTACAACACATTTTTTACTTTATTAATCCTCGTAACGGTCAAACTTGGCAAAGTTTTAAGGGACCGATATAGTATTAGCTAAACTAGAACCTATACCTGATAAAAAAAAGGTTACTGTCAAATAGGTCCTCGAACTTTCATAAAAAGGTCAATTAAGTCCTTTTATAGGAGGTTCTGTCCGGCCGTCACGATTAGGGGCAGTTCCCGGTGGAATTTCTTTATGAAATTTTTTGAGCATCTTATTCACCAAGTCTAGTTTACTCATACCAAATTTCAGCTAAAATTTCAATCTGGAACACATTCAAATTAATTCTTGAAGATAACTGCGCATTTTTGCGTTCTCGAATTAATTTGAATGCGCTCCCGATTAAATTTTTAGCTGAAATTTGGTATTAGTAAACTATACTTGATGAATAATATGCTCAAAATATTTCATCAAAACATTCCACCGGGAACCGCCCCAAATCGCGACGACTAGACAGAGTCTCCTATAGAAGGACTTAATTGACTTTTTATGAAAGTTCGAGAACCTATTTTGACAGTTTTCCCAAAAAAAAAAACTAGAACCTATACCATCCTTGACCACAGGCAAGGAGCATTACCTTCCATTTAGACCCAATACTCCACTGCCGAGCGAAGCTACCTACATCTCCCCCTCTCTGCTGCAGAAACACTTGAGAAGGGGGTGCGGCTCAGATACGAAATCTACAGCCTCTCTTTTACAGTCTTGCCGACGAATAGAATTTTGTTGAATATTTGAAAGAGAAGCTCATAGTATGAGGTATCTGCTACAATCATGGCTCCTCCATTTGTAATAGCTGCTCCGACAACGACAATTGAGTGGTCTAGCTGCTAATGATGCTTCCCCAGTTCCCCCGTCATGGAAGAGAAATCAGAGCTATCGATCATGTGCCTAGCAATTCGGTAATTTCAATGATTACAATTTACAACGGTAAGGTCATTGACGAACAATTTTCTGAAATCAAATCATCTCTTCCCTTTCGTTCATATATTTCCTATGCTTTTAGTAATTATCGATCATCTATTTATTTTAAGTCACCTAAGTTTCATGGGCAACCTCTAAATTTTATTAGTACTTCTCTGATGCTTATATGTTTTTCTTCTCCATATGGTAATCATAGGGAATGTAAAGCTATCTCCTGTTCAAGTAATTAAATGTCTCTGAAATTGACACCATATGGATTCTCTTCTAGGGTTGATATAATTAGCAATTTCTTTGATATAATTAACAATTGTTTCTCCTGGTGCATAATTATTTACTATGATTTATCATGGTTTTTATTTCTGCTGTTCAGCCTAGGTGGGCGAATTGTACCAAGATTTCAGAAGTTAACCCCATATAAACTTGGCAGGGTAGTGTTATTCTCTGTTTTATTGTGCCGTGCTTGTTTATGGTTCATATTGTGGAATAATGGGAAAGGTTACCCTCAATGGGAGCCCTGGCAGATATATTTATACAGTGAAAGTTACCAAAAAATACAAATTATACCTAATTTAATATTAGGCTATTACACCCCCTCAAACTGTGCGGGAGATACAACGCGCATGTTGTCTTTTAAAAAATGAAATTGCTGACTAGAAAGACTTTTGGTAAATATATCCGCCAGCTGAAGACTAGTAGGCACATATTTAACCACAAGATCACTATGAGCCACACGTTCACGAACAAAGTGATAGTCAATCTGGATATGCTTACTGCGAGCATGCTGAACATGATTTGTTGTCAAATTGGAAGCAGAGATGTTGTCGCAGAACAGATGTACCGGTGTCGTGACAGGAAAACCAAGCTCGAACAGGATTGACCGGGTATGTAGTGTGTCTTGGACTGTGTAGGCAATGGCACAGTACTCTGCTTCTGTAGAGGATTTGGAAACAGTAGGGATGTTTTTACTTGGACTGTAATTTGTTGATCTGGTCTGATCTGGTCTGGTCTGAATTGGTCTGGTCTGGTCTGGTTTCTTTGTATTTTTATAACTATCCAAGTCTAGTCTGGTCTGAACTGGTTTGGTCTGATATGGTCTGGTCTGATCTGGTCTGGTCTGGGACGAATTACAATCCAAGTAAAAACATCCTAGGTTGCTTTTTGGACTTCCAAGACACAAGATTGGCCCCACGGAAAAAGGCATAACCGGTGGTGGAACGAGAAGTATCTGGGTAGCCTGCCCAATCCGCATCAGAGTATGTCAGGATACAAGTAGCCTTAGGTGTAGGCTGAAGCCACACACCATGATCAGTAGTACCATGCAAATATCAAAAAATCCTCTTGACAGCAAAAAGGTGAGTGGTGCGAGGGGCATGCATAAACTGAGAGACTAAATGCACGGCATAAGTAATGTCAGGTCTTGTCAAAGTTAAATACTGTAATGCACCTACCATATTAATATTATAATTTTAAGTGATATAATAGAAATTGTAAAAAATGTAGAAAAAGTGTATCACAATGCTAATAATAATCCCAACTATTTTGGTTGAAAAGGTACTGACTTTTGGTAACATTCTACTATTGTCATTTCAAGTTATTCACATTTTCACATTGGTAGAAATTAAAAATACTAAAATGGAATAAATAGAAAGTTTAGTTTTTTAGATTAAGCTAGAATAAAGATCTAAATTGCAAAAAAATTAATCACAATTTACTTTTTGAAAATAGAAAATATAATTTTTAATAAAGGAAACAATACCAAAGCATAAATTGGTTATACAACTGTGAAAAACAATTTGCGAAAACAGAAAAAAAGAAATCTTAGTGAAAATAAATAAAAAATGACTAAAAATAATATATTTAATTTTGGTACATTTGTAGAGTTTTCGTAATTATATTTTTCATGCTTAAAAGTATTTAGTTTGACAATTTATAATAATATACGTAGTATCTAAATCTATAGTCGGAATTATAGAAATTTGAGAGTTGATAATTGGGATTAATAAAAAAGATCGATTATAGTTGAGATTATTTATAGCTTGCGTATAGTTCACATTTTAAAATTGTCGTGTTATATAAGGTTGTAACCGGTTAGAGACTATTTTTGAAAAATTGTCCTTAATGTTGGGACCACACATGAATAATTGATAGTTGAGATTATTAACAGCGGATCGACAACAATTGAGATTTATAATTTCAATTTTTCCTTAATTATATACGTAGTAGTAGTTGTATGAAAATGAAAAATTAGATTGTAAAAAATTCAAGTAAAATTAAAATAAGTGATTATGTACGAAATAACTCTACGTAACAATGAAATTACTTGATATTACAATTACTAGTGGACCTCATGAAATTTTTGTTGTTTTGTTGTATTTTTTCTCATGTATAATATTTGCTCTTTAAACGCTGACATCCTACAGTGTACCAATCGATGACCGAATTCGCTAGCAGATGCAGTGATTAGCCGTTGGCCGCAATGAATTCTCATCCGTATTTTAAAGTCATATATATAACAATCTTTAAAATACGGGCATATATATATGGACAATAGATGTTCTATTAATGTAAAGATTATTTAAGGCACACAAATGAGATCATTTGACCATACGTACTATATATTTCAGGGCCTACAAATTACATTTTTACCCATTTTTGGGCGGCAATTTTGCCTCCAAAAAATGTAGCAAACTTTGCTACTTTATATTATATAAAGATATGATGAGTAATATTTAAAAATACTTATACAGAATACACCTCACGTGAAAATTCAATTCACCAAGTAAATTAAACAATTTCTTTTAAAAATAGAAATTGCTCTAAATAGGAGCAAAATCGTTTTGAAATTCCAAAATAGGAATATCATGTTTTTTATTCCCTGAATAGCAGTAATCTACTAATTTTGAAAAAAATGCCATGTTTTAAAGCTTAGTAATGCTAAACTTGGCAAAAATTTACTCATATTCAAGGAATAAAAAATATGATATTCTTGGAATTTAAAACATTTTTAGTCCTACTTACAGAATTCAGTTTTTAAAAAACAGAGTACATAGTTTATTTGTATACGGAGTATATTAAAATAAGTAAATATTAGAGGAAAATCGCAGGCACAAACACGTTGTTGCTTGGTAATTGAATCACAAGATTATTATTAACGACTAAATCACTCGCGCACGCGCCGCCATCACGCAAAGCTGGAGGCCGTGGCGGCGACCAGGTCCACGGCATCCGCCACAACTGAACGACGACCGAAGCAGAGATTGCAATTTAAAAACATTTACAACACCATTTACGAGTTCTACCATCTGCTGCTGCTACCCCGTCTAAGTAATCGTTTTGTTTTTTCGCCCAAATACACAAATACAGTATTGCTAAAACCGCCATAGCAACTATACAAGTTCCGAAGATGATAAGAATCTTGATGGGACGACTTAGTGTGGATGAGTGGTCTTCATCTTCGTTGAAACCGCTACCACGAGCATAGCAGGATGAAATGTGTAGAAGAAGAAGAAAGAAAAGAAAGGCAAAGTTTTTGGATTTGCTCATTTTCATCGTTGTATCTGATCTGATCTTGAGCAAGCAAGCTAATTCAATTAATTTAAGCTGGGTATGATAGTTAATTAAGATTTACTCATCACCGCATATAAATAGATCGATCATCAGAGAGCTAGAGCTCGGGTAGCCAGGCCAGACCAGGCGCCGTCTATTTCCCTTCGTCTGAAAAAGCGCCAGAAATACGTATGCAGTTACGTCTAATACTCCCCCGTCCCGTAGGAACGCGTTCATGTTCACGGTAAACTTAGGTCACTTCTAATCTTTTACTGTATAGGTAGTATATCAATTTTTCATCAAATTGAACTTTTCTTGATCAGCCTTTGTAGCGGTTTTAATGTAGTTTCTGAATACGTAAATTTTATTTACTAAAAATAAGCGGACTGTGAACAGGGATCGAGTTGATTTATCGTCAGTCAAGCATCGTACACCGAACGGGAACATTCCAACGGGACAGAGGGAGTATGTAATATGTACTATCTCCGTCCCTTAAAACTTTGAAAAAGTTGACCGACCCATGGAGAATATGTGATCCGAACCGGTGGGAAGGGGTGGGGCGAGCTCGGTGCTGGATTATTGTGACCCGGCCCGGCCGGGTCGGGCCCGGGTCCGGGTCTAATTTAAAAAAAAAAAAAATTGGTTTGGGCTACTAGCCGTTGGGGGTGGGGCTGGGGACAACCCAAACGGCTATATAGCCGTTGGGTGGGGTAAAGGGGGGGTCCGGGGGGGTTGGCTGGTGGGGGGGTGGTGGGGGGTAAAAAAACTTATAAATACTCCTAATCTTAAACATTTTTTCATATCTCTTCTCCAATTCTTCCTAAATCCTATTCTTAACTCTCTACTCTCTAATTCTCTTATTCTCCAATATATTATATTTATTATTTATATATCTACTTTATAGTTTATACTTAAGAAGTTAAGATGGAAAATCAAGATGCCATTATACGGTATAATTTTGATAAGCAGAAGGACCCGAAGACCGGGATGTGGTACGCAATTTGCAAATGGTGCGAGAAAAAATGTAGCATGGGGGTTTCAGGCGGATTCGGGATGGCAATCAAACATATGAAGTCATGTGACAAAGCCAAAGGATCGGGAGGTGCGGAAAGTTCCGATTGATTACAATTTTCAAAATGTTTTATCTCTTAAAGTTTGTTTTAATTTTCAAATGTAGTTCCTATTTCATTTCAAATAAATGCAATTGAAGTTTGTTTTTAATACTCGTATAAAACTATAAACTATAAAATATAAATTATATAAAAAAAAAATTAACCGGCCCGGCCTGAACCGGACCCGACCCGTGACCCGGGCGGGTGGCCCGGCCCGAACCGGACCCGTCCAACCCTCGGGCCGGTCCCGGGCCCATGTCATACTACCCGGCGGCCTGACCGGGCCTAGGCCCGGCCCGGGCCCGACCCGGTCCGAGTCCATCAATAGGCTCCTCCATTTGTAATCGCTGCTCCGACAACGACAATTGAGTGGTCTAGCTGCTTCCCCAGTTCCCCCGTCATGGAAGAGAAATCAGAGCTATCGATCATGTGCCTAGCAATTCGGTAATTTCAATGATTACAATTTACAACGGTACGGTCATTGACGAACAATTTTCTGAAATCAAATCATCTCTTCCCTTTCGTTCATATATTTCCTATGCTTTTAGTAATTATCGATCATCTATTTATTTTAAGTCACCTAAGTTTCATGGGCAACCTCTAAATTTTATTAGTACTTCTCTGATGCTTATATGTTTTTCTTCTCCATATGGTAATCATAGGGAATGTAAAGCTATCTCCTGTTCAAGTAATTAAATGTCTCTGAAATTGACACCATATGGATTCTCTTCTAGGGTTGATATAATTAGCAATTTCTTTGATATAATTAACAATTGTTTCTCCTGGTGCATAATTATTTACTATGATTTATCATGGTTTTTATTTCTGCTGTTCAGCCTAGGTGGGCGAATTGTACCAAGATTTCAGAAGTTAACCCCATATAAACTTGGCAGGGTAGTGTTATTCTCTGTTTTATTGTGCCTTGCTTGTTTATGGTTCATATTGTGGAATAATGGGAAAGGTTACCCTCAATGGGAGCCCTGACAGATATATTTATACAGTGAAAGTTACCAAAAAATACAAATTATACCTAATTTAATATTAGGCTATTACACCCCCTCAAACTGTGCGGGAGATACAACGCGCAAGTTGTCTTTTAAAAAATGAAATTGCAGACTAGAAAGACTTTTAGTAAATATATCCACCAACTGAAGACTAGTAGGCACATATTTAACCACAAGATCACCATGAGCCACACGTTCACGAACAAAGTGATAGTCAATCTGGATATGCTTGTAAGCAACAACAACAACGGGAATGAATCAAATTATATATAAAGCTGAAACAAAAACAAAACTGGTGCTTGTAAGTAAAACCAAATATACAGTAGTAGTAGATAATAAATTATAGTTAAATACTATCTACTTAAACCACTATAATTGTTATAATTGTAAATGTAACTCCTGTAATAACTCTAGTCCTGTACACTAAAATTAAAGAATTAAAGCTTCAAAAAGATTAACATCAATCAAATTAATGAGAGAAATCTTATATTTTGGTTTGGTTTGGTTTGGTGTAAGTTGGTTTTGATTTGTTTTTTTTTAAAAAGAAATTATTTCATTTCTAGATTAGTTCAGTTTTATTCGGGTTTTTTATTTCGGTTCGGTTTGATTCAGTTTAATACGGGTTGGGAGGAATACTAACAAACTCAAACCAAATTACAAATGGTTCGGTTTAGATTCGATTTAATTCGGTTTGGTACGGTTCGGTTCGGTCAAACCGAACCGTTATGCCCACCCCTAAGTAGGAGTTCAAAATTAGAGGAAGCAAAAAAATTGAAAAATGAAAAAAGGAAAGTTGAAGTTAGAAAAATTAAAGTTAGAAAAAGAAAAACTAAAGTTAAAGTTAGCAAAAAAAGAAAAAGAAAAATTGAAGTT